CTGTGTTTACTTTGCCAGGGGCTAAGATGTATCCTTGGGTATCATCAGCATACTGATTACACTTTACCCCATGGCGATGGATGAGCTCACCCAGCGGTCTCATGTAGATGTTAAATAGGAGGGGAAAGAGTACCAAACCCTGCAGCACCCCACATAACGGGCTGAGAGCAGGATCTATCCTCCCCAACCACCACCAACTAGAATCGGCCCTCGAGGAAGGAGGCGAACCAGCACAACACTCTGCTACCCACCCCCAGTCCTCTGAGCCGATCCAGAAGGATGGTATCAAAAGCCGCAGAGAGGTCAATTAGATCAAGGATGGATGCATAACCTCTATCCCACCCTCCCCAGAGATCATCCAAAAGCATGACCAGTGCTGTTTCAGTCCCATACCCAGGCCTGAATCCCGACTGAAAAGGATCCAGATAATCTGCTTCATCCAAGGTCCTCTGAAGCTGCTGTGCAACCACTTTCTCAATCACCTTCCCCAAAAAGGGGAAGTTAGATACTGGATGGAAATTATACAGTATGGTGGGGTCCAGCGATGGCTTGAGGAGTGGGCGAACCAAAGCTTCAAGAGGTGAAGAAACAACCCCCTCACTCAAGGAAGCATTAACCATCGCTAGAACCCACTCACACGACACCCCCCGAGCTGCTTTAACCAGCCAGGAGGGGCATGATTCTAAAGAGCAGGTGGCTGAGCTTACAGCCCTAAGGACCCTGTCCACTTCCTCAGGTCCAAAAGGTTCAAACCGTTCCCAGATAACAAGATTCCTCCCTAGGCATCTCCACCAGACCTGCAACAAAGCCAGCATCCAACTGAGAACGAATCCGAGCAATTTTATCTGACAGATGCTGAGAAAATTCCTCCACACACCCCTGCAGAAGGTTCTCCAAGCCATCCTTACCCAGGAGGGCTCATGTCAGATAGCGGGGCAGCTATCTGTGGATACAATAAGAACAGAGGAGCAATGACACTTTGCTGCCCTTATCACCACTAGGTAGGCCTTAATAGCAGCTTGAACCCATGTTCGGTCAAGTTCGTCCCTTGTCGAGCACCAGTGATGGTCTAGACATCTTGCCTTACTTCTTCTCCCTCAGCTCTTCTATAAACCAGAGAGAGTGCCGGGATCTCCGAGAGGAGAGTGGTCACATGGGTGCGATCCAATCCAAAGCCTTAGCTGCCTCTTTATTCCAAGCGGCAATCAAGGCTTCAGATGACCATGCAGCAGGTCAGCAGGAACAACCCCCAGCTCCCTCTGGAACCCATCCAGGTCCATTAGTTGCTAAGGACGGACCGACGTAATGGGTACAGCCTCCCTGCAGTGGATAGCGGTGCTAGAGGATCCCATTGTAATCAGGGAGTGATCTGACCATGACAACGGGGACATCAAAAGTTCCCCCAATTTCAGATCACATAGCCACTGCTCTGACAGGAACACCAAATCCAGTGTATGGCCGCTGTCCTGTGTCGGGCTCTGGATGTTTGGGATAGGCCCATGGCCATCATGGTGGCCATGAACTCCCGAGCCACCTCAGACCCCATCCCTAGAGAAGGCAGATTGAAATCTCTCAAGACCATAAGTCTAGGGAACTCCATCGCCAACCCAGAAATGGCATCAAGGAGCTTAGGCAGGGAAGTTACTGTACAGCAGGGAGGCTGGTACAACAGCAGCAAACCCAACTGATTCCTAGAGCCCAACTTAATGAACAGGGTCTCACATCCAGTGACCTGTGGTAGTGCCCATGAAAGACCTAAGAGATTCCTGGATGACAATTGCCACACCTCCACCTCTGCCCCAGGATCTCGGCTGATGCCACACTCAAAGCCCAGCTGGGCATAACTCTGAGAGGGACTCCCCACCCCAGATCTCAGTGATACATGCCAGGTTGGCCCTCTCATCAGTAATTAAATCACTAATGAGGGAGGCCTTATTACAGACTGACCTAGCATTCAGAAGCAGCAGCCGGAAACCAAAGCCTCTGAAGGTCCGCTGACGAGGTACAGGGGCTGAGACTGAGAAGCTGGAACACAAGGCTGGTAACAAACAACAGTCCTGCGGTCCCTGGGAATGGCCCACTCCCCATCTCCCACCATATCTCCCCAGGCCTGTTACCACCATAATACTTTGGCCTGCCCTTACCCCCCAACAACATCCCCATCTCCAAGTCCCTCAGCTCCCAAGACATCTGCTGTCCTTACCAGCTGTACTTGGGAGGGGAAGCACTTTAACACTGGGCACTCAAAGCACTTTAACTTTGCCAGTTCTCAGCACCATCAGAACCTAGCAACCACCTCCCACTTCACTACAATAATCTCACACACAAACATATACAGGCATCTCTCCCTTGCTGCTCCCTGCCCACTCACTCTCCGTCAATTCCTCCTCCGACTCTCACCCAGAGAGAGGAATCAACACACTCACACCCACTTACATCCAAGACCCCCTACCGTGCTGCTCCCACCAGTTGGCAGAGGCTCCCAACCCATTCACCTCCCCCCAGCCAAGCCCACTTCTGGCTCTCACTCAGAGAAGCTTCACTTCTTTTCTGAGGCCACCTCTAGCAGTTCCAGTGGGTAGAAAAGACTCTGAAATGATATGAAGTGCCTTGATGAGACTAAGTGTATCACGTCTGTACTTGATGAAGTACACAAAAAGTACATCACATAATTCTTGGGCTGCAAATTGCCTAATTGAGGTGAGTTATCTCACACATCCTGACATGGTGTCTTGTCATATGTATCTACACTGCGTGCACAATTATTAGGCAAGTTGTATTTTTGAGGATGAATTTCATTATT